AAAAAAAGAAAGAAAGAAAACCGCAGCGATTAACATCATTTGAAATAATTTCCATCAAGAAGCATTTCAATGTTATTTTGTGTTCTTCTGTCACTAGATTTGCCGAGCCACGCGCTCATAGAAAGTCCCCGGAGAATTTTTCAAGCTATCATCATCGATAAAAAAACTGTCAATACTGGTAAAAACACAATACTGTACTATTCACCTAAGCATTGCAAGATCTCTGTAGCAGTTTGGATCGCCACAATTGTATCTAGGAACAAATAATAATTAATAACAAATTATGATTATTATAATTCGCAATGATAGCAAACATTGAGGTTGAATATCAAACGCACTTCAATATGAAGGTGAATAATTACATGTCAGTTATTCTTTATACATGTTTTATTTTTCMCATTATTCATTGTCTGTATTTTTGCTATCATTCAAAGTTTTTCATGCAATTATSCGCTGTCAAACGCGTCCTYTAAGGCCTGGGTACAAAGTTGATTTTATTATATAGATGATTTGTAACGCGCGCTCTGATTGGCCAAAAAAGTGTGGTTTATGAGAGTATATAAACCATGATTGTGCGCGAGCGATTTTTGAAAAAKGCAACAAAATGGATTTTTGCTTAAGTTTTGCTCAAAATCTATATAATAAAACAAATAATTAAGTCTCAGTCTGTGGTTTATACTCTGATAAACGCACGCTTGGCATTTGAAACACACTCAAAAATGTCCAGAAGCACTCGCTTTCAGCTCGTGCTTCTTGAAATTTTCTYGTGTGTTTCAAATACCAAGCGTGCRTTTATCATAGTAAAAACCACAGCTGAGCCTTATTTATTTGTTAAGTAACTCATTGGCAGTTCAATAGTTTTACTTACAGTTCAAATAGAAGAGCCCARTCAGGAAGAAAGAGAGCATGAGCCAAACCAGCACCATGCATTCCAATAAATAAATCTGAATTCATAGTTATCTACARTGTGAAACACAGTGATTTATTGAATATTTAAACAAATTAATAAATGAGAGAATGGGAAAATGGATGGGAAAATGGATAGATAGTAAAGCAAATAGATGAAATAAAATGATTGAATGAAAAGATTTTAAGAATGAATGAATGAAAAGACGATGAGCAAATCAAAGGTAACAGAATAGGCCCCCCAGAATAAGTTTTACGAAAATGATGACAGACTGACTGATATATTGAATGAATTCATAAATGTGAGTTTTTTGTTTTGCTTTTTTTAATGGCCAAAAATATTTTAATTTAATAATTTATCTACTATCAATTCAAAATCTATATACATTCAAAGAGTGCTTTAACAATTAATTACTAACATAAATGTGAGTTTGATGAATGGATGAAGGGATGAACAAAAAATGAACAGAAAATAGATGGATAGTTAAATACAAAATATTTCTACATTAATAATATGCTCAAAATTTATTGTCTAAATGAGCTTATAAAAACCCTAAAACATACCTTGAGCTGCTCTAAAAATGGCATATCCCTACAAGAAAGCAAAAGAAGATACCAAGCTTTAAAATGTCATTTTGAAAAAAAAAAAAAAAAACACATATTGAATATATATATAATTACCAAGAATATGTTGCTGTCTGGACAGTTACACCTTGGACTGTCTTTGCAGCTTCTACAAGCTACCAAGAACAGAATTATTCGTAATCTTCATTAAACATTTTTGTCCCAGGCCCTCACCACTGAGTTATTAGGGAGAGCCTGGTAGGAAAAGTCTTATTACTTTACCTTGTCTTCATTCAAAATTGCTCTGAACTTGGTCCCTCTTGATAGAAATGTAACTCGGACAGGTTTATCAGCATCCTTTTGAATTAAAATGAATTTAACATTTTATTGAAAATGGTTCAATGGTACGMAAAAAAYTAAATGYACATTTTCAMATTTCATGAGGTTGAAATTTGCCCTTCATTGTTTAGTAAAAGGTCTTTAGGAAAAGGCTTGCTTCTCACTTACTTTTTTGATATCTCGTTCTTGGCTTATGTTAAGTTTTCCAAGTACATATTCTGAAAAAGCTTTAAATAGTCCACTATTTGAACAGCCTGGTATCTATGATATAGAAAAAGATGCAAAATGTATCATTTCTATTATTCATTAATTAATCCAAACATTCATTCTTTCATCCTCTCATTTTTTCCCATTTTTTCATATCCATAATATTTATAAATATCAATCATTTTGTGTATTCACTTTAAAATTACCAATGGCGTATTGTAAAAGAGGCCAAATATCATCCTTGGAAGAAGTGYAAATAYTGCCTGCTTGAAACAGACCTAAAAAATTAAAAGATTATTCTGAGTGATAAACAACAGCATATTACTTATTAGAAATTGAAGTTAATAATTATAYTATCATGTCTTCTTTGAATGAGAATATTTGATATACACACCCTTTTGCCAGCATACTGTTGTCCTAAATATAGTAATGGATTCTTGGTAAAAGCCTTCCATGTCACCTCAAAATTTCCTAGACTATATCTGGCATCCTACAATACAAAAACACTCCAAGCATTGGTTCCTTGCAAACCAAGAGGATTGAATTGAAGTTTTTATTTAAATTTGAATTAAACAAAGGGAGTTGATAATTGGAGCATTTTGCATCAATGTAGAACTGGAAACGTAAAGTTTAAACTACTGTAATTCAAATCTTAAAGTGTTCTCTCATTTTGAAATAAAACGTAATAATCTTTATTTGCATTGTTTTATTAATCAATAACTATACTCACACTTTCCCATAAAACAATATTAACATCATCACTGAATGATCCGTTGACATGTAACGTGGCATAAAGATTGAAGAAGTCACAAAAGTGATGATACATATTTACAACTAAAAACAAAAATGGACATCTCAATACATGCTCCAAGCCTGAAGAAGAYGCACTAAGTGCCTCAAAATGTTGCAAAGGAAATAAACCAGCATTTTAGAATCTCGAAAACAAAACAACAACAACAAAAAAATCTCAATTTATTCTTAATAGTTGAGATTTTTTTAAGAGAAGAGGATAGGATGAGAGTTTAGTAAATTTTCTTCATAATGTTTTTGTATTTCATGGTCTCTGCCAACCCCCTCCCTTGAATAAAGTCCTTCACAGTTCCTACATGTAGTACTATCTTGAAAGGAAGCCTTGCTGTGAAGGGAACTACTTTAGTGATTATTTATTCAAATAGCAAWTTTTTTTACATTTGAGTGAGAACTTTCGATTGTACCTGCATCTAACTTCATGAAAAAWGTTGGTTTTTCTACAATGACGTCACAGTGTCCACCTTTGATAAAGTTAAATGGAATGGAGGAAAACGTCTCAAGTTGATCATACCTGAATAGAAAGGACATTGAGAACTAAATACTCCATTTTCGAATTCAAAGTGATTAACCGCTGTTTTATTTGACAGCAGATTCTCTTACGCAAAGAACTTACCAAACACAAAAGAAAGCACGAGAAAATGTTACGTTGTAAGTACAATAGTCCTAACAATTTGTGTAGACTTTCCCCCGAGTTGATGCTAACACTGTACTCCCAGAAGGATTAAACCTTAGGTCTTATAGGAATACAGGGCTAGTCTCAACTCGGGGAAAATGCAAAATGTTGATTTATAACAATATGTGTCAAATTGTGATGGAAGACCACAGTTGCCATTTGTGACCAACTTTCTAAATGTCACTCATTGTCAACTCATTGTCGAGTGAGGTATACATATAGTAGATGTCACTCATTTTGTACGGTTTTCTATGTTTTGTATTTGCGGTGTTTTATACAGCTTTTTTACCAGGAAGTCAGCTCCATCCTGTACCCCTCATAAAGTGATTTCATTGCTTGCGAATCAACATCACAAAATCCTCCAATTTGCCCTTTCTTGAACATATTTGACTTGAATCTGTCAAGAAAGAAAGATTCAAAGTACTTAATAATATTAAATCACTAAAAGTGGCAAAACTTCTGCTGAAAACTTTGAGGTGTATCTTTCTTTACCACATTATTTTTGAGTGTAATAATTAGCTATAAATTATCACATGCCACAAAACGAGCTGATCATGTGGTACAGAAACAATGAGATAAACTTGCCACAACTGTAGTGGTTTCCATTTAGACAAACTGAGAGTTACAATCTCCTAGCAGGGCGCTGGTAGATCTAAGGGAGTAATGAGGTCTATTTTAGGCAACATTATTTTTATACCTTTCATGCTTTCCTCTACCATCGTCTCTTAAATCAATATAAAGATTTTCAGCTTTACAATAAGCAAGATGCTTTGAACACAAAAGGGATGAGCCACCAATCTGAAAAAAGTCAGGTAGAAWTTATAAACAAMGACGTCTTGTACATCACACATTAAGCTGTTTAAATTACACATTCTTTTTTAATTCAAATTCAGCATACTTTTGTTCTTGGTCTGCATACAGGACGCATACTATCTTGAAATTCTTTAAYGTAACCAAAGTCAGCAATTTTCCAAAACTCTTTAACCTTTTCTTCATGTCTTTACAAAACATAATGAATTAAAAGAACGGAATTCAGTAATCCATTAAAAGTTTCAGAKCTCCAAGGGATGGACTGTTGCTTAATTASATGCGCAATTAAATTGGGATTCCTGTTTACCAGGTTCCCTGTGTTTTTGGACATGCATGTGTAAGCTTTATTTGAATACATCTCTCTATAGTTTAATCTGATTTGATCCAAGTGAATAAATATACAAATGAAAAAAGAAGGAAATTATTGGGGTGAATTGGGCTTCCTGTGCATAGCCTGCAAAACAGGACTAGTGTTCTCAATAAATAAAAAAAAATAAAAAATAAAACAACTTTATATAACGTCCTTTTTACCCCCTTTTCATTTAAAAGTATTCAAAAATATATCGCTTGCATTACTGCTGTTAAATTATTAATTAGGTAACACAACTTCAACAAGAAATTATTCAAATATTTTTCTTAGTGCATCATGGAAAAATCACTATCACTTACGATGAAAAATGTCTGTATCCTGCCTCGTTGTTGCATTTAGGTGTGACATACCACTTGGGACAATCGACTTCGTATCCCCAGCAACGTGGCTGATTATACTAAATTCCATGACAACAAGTTAGGTGTAATTCTTAAGTAAATTGATCAGCTGTCATCCACGTATGTAACGCGCAAAACTTTTTGTTAATTCATACATGATTTTCAGAACCTAACTTTCTTTACCTTGCAGTCTTTACGATCTTTGCAAGTATCTTGAGTATCTTTAACTGTAGGATCTTTGTAGAGTGACTTTGTTTCTTCCTCTTGGGAATCCAGGCAATTCACAGGTGACTTAACAAAGGATAACATAAATACGACAATTACAGTTTGAATGAAGAAAAGCCTAAAAAATCCTGTATTGCTAATCATGACGCTCTCCTAAAGACTACTTGGGTATATTTTAAATTACAGATTGTTAAAATAAAAGATTCTGATCATTAAAAAGTGCAAAAATCATTCAGAAGTTGAGGTTGATCAACTTCACATGAAGTTCTAGAAAACTATGAGCGCGCGAGTTCAAGCTCGACTCCAGTCCTTCAATATATATGATGGGCTTCCTGTGGTGCCTGGCGCACAGGAACTCCAAAAACACTATAAAATCACAAGATTTCTGAAAAGACTGAATTTGACTTTTGAATTATATTTCAAGGTTTTTATTTTTATTAGAAATGAAATAAATTGATTGTTTTTTCCTTTGTTTTCAACTCCAATTTGTGGATAACAYAATTTCTATAAAAGACTTTTATGAGCTACTTTTTTTCTCTATGACTTTGAAAGATAGCTGCTATAAAATTCAATATTTTATAAATCTTTTTGTGCATTATTTTCCTGAGGCAGTAAGGAATTTTCGTTTTGGCTTTCGATTACAAAAAGCCCGGAAGTCGTTCTTTGACCACGCCCATGGCCGTAAAAGTCAGTATTTTATGCATGTTTTGTGACAAAATGTTTTTTTTGTCCTCTATGCATGTTGAAAAAGTATAAAAGAATGTAGACTTCATGTCGCGGCACTGATCACCAGGTTCAATGAGCAGCTGTTACCACTGKTAAAGTAGGCAACATATTTTAAAAGCGGGCTAGCAAAAAATATTGTAAAATTAGAATAAAGAATGACGGAATAGTTAATGTGTTAGATCGGATTTCGTATGACTGTGCAAAAACACGGTCGTGCTATAGCGGTGATGTATTGTTAAATCTTTATTTTCATTTGGAACGGCCTAGAAGGCGAGGTTCCGTGACTGTGCCGTGCYGTGTCCGTGTTGTGATCCCGTGCCGTTGCACAGTCATACGAAATCCGCTCTATTCATGAGTCTTACAATGATAGTTATAAATCTTAAATTCATTTCGTTGGTAGTTAAAATGGTGTAAGACCCTCCCGTCCCACCCGTCCCAAGTTTACAAACATGACACAGGATGATACAGTTTGATACACTCAAGTCAGCCTGACAGGGATCCGTAAAACCAGAAGCTCATCATGATAAGGGGAATTCCGGTAAAACTTAAACAATATAGTATTAAATTATGACTTTCTATTGTTTTATCAACACTATTTAGTAGTACTTTGGAAAATTGATCGRATATTGTCCACTCTTCAGTATTAATACATTAAAAAATTCTTWTGATCTGCTTTGATATTTACTCATGCAACTTTCACGGTATGAAGTAAACACCCAAGTTAGCTAGACTAATAATGTGGACCTTTTAGTGTCGGTGACCTAACCAGCACCCATACTACGCCTTTAAAGGGAGAAAAACCTCAAGCCTTTTTCGCCATGACTCGATCAAGTCACGATATACAAAGTGTTGCAATTTCTAGTCTCTGTGAATTGTAGAAAATCAAGCGCAACTTTAAACCCCTTATATAACTACTTGTGGCTATGTAACAATAAGGCATTGTTCAATACAAGTAGTTTAACCAAAGTTGACGGTGAATTCTACAAATGACGTCACGCAAGCTTTATGTTRGCCATGTTGGTTACCAGTGACCCATAAYGACCTTACCTTTAAACTCAGACGAAAGAACATTCATCGAACCGTTACTTCTTGGTGATATTTCCTTGAAACACATCTGATGTTCAGTTTTGCGTCGATGTACACAATGTAACACTTAGGAATAAGGCGAGAGACCACCGACGTCCTAGCTCCGTAATCGTTGCCTAGCAGCGCCAGCAGACGACAGAGAAACATCATTCCGATTAGCATATTCGCTGCCAGTGGTTGAAGTGGCAGCAAGAACGCCATACTTTCAAAAGAAGTCTATTCCCAGGGGAAAAGTAACCTTCTCTGGAAGGATCAATGGTTCAAGAGCAAAAATAATGCAAGCGAAACGATTTATTTATCGAATATGACACTCAAAGTGCTCTGGATAGATATACATCGCAAAAAATATAACTTCTGATGTTCACTGAACGACGCTTAGGGAAGAAATAACAAAATGGCAATGTTATTCCACGGTAACTGTTCCCGGCATGTTTCGTCAGATAATTGCACTAGTACACCAGAAATCTCCATTGAAGTGCTCTTTTTAGTTGTGGTACTGACGGGATCGACAATTGGGAATGTTTTGGTCTTATTGGTAGTTAGGCAAAGCCGACGAAATGAGTGGACTACGAATTACTTTGTCACTAGTCTTGCTGTGTCAAATTTAAGTTCACCGTTTCTTTGCGTCTTGTGGACAATCTTTTGGATCGTAAGTGGGCGCTGGATATTTGGAGATCTCACTTGTAAAATAACTTTCTTTTTCCACTTTCTCAATGCGGGAGTTTCGGCGGGTCTTTTGGCGTGTATTTCTCTTGATCGATTTTACGTGGTTGTTCATCCACTTAGCTTCAAGATGACCAGAGCTCAAACAAAAGAGCTCATAACGTTCGTATGGGTTTTTATGATCTGTGCCACAGCGCCAGCCTTGTACTTTTTCAACGTTGAGTCACCTCAAAGCATTCAAATTTGTACTACTGATTTTAGCGTGACTGAATGGCAAGTTTTTATCATATTGTTCTTTTTTATCCCCTTTGGATTCCCACTATTCACAACCTTGGGACTATATTCGCGTATAGTATATGCTATATTAATGCGGAACAGGCAAGCGAGGAACTTGACTAACGACTTCAGAAGGCAGGCCAACAGGGTGCCTAAGTCAAAAATCAAAGTACTACGAATGCTTATGATACAGTGGCTGTGCTTCGTGGGTTGTTGGTTACCGTTCCTAATATATCAAGTCATTCTCTCGCTAGGCTTAATCAATTTCAATATGGGTTCATACATTTCAATGTTATTTCTTTCCTACACAAATTCAGGGCTMAATGCTCTAATCTATTCGCTGTTCAATGGCGACTTTCGACGTGGATGTAAACGAGTTTTTTGTAAGCCGGATTCTTCGCAAGCTTATCGTTTGACGACATTGCCGAGCAGAAARAACAGAATTACTCCTGCTGACCAAGAGTTCAGTTCTGGCGAACACGATTTTGCCGAAATGCGACTACCAGAACTAAAACCCTTTAAACATCACAGTTTGAACGGCACAGCCGACAAAATAGTCCATCAAGCTTGGGTTAACAATAGCACAGCACGAAGAGCGTTAACGGAAATCTCTTGAAAAATGGCTTATCATTTTTTCGCGCGAGCTAAATACAGGAATGAATAAAATGAAAAATGGAAATAAATCTATTTAATTCCCTTTCAAATGAAACATTTGCGGATTGAAAAGATACAGGTTCCACACTGAAACTCCTTTCATCGTAAGCGAATGATTTTTGTATTTATTTTTTATTTTTGCYTGGGAAGCAGCTGAAGTCTTTGGCGCGCACGTCAATTACTCGGTAAGGGTAAGTCTCGTTCCACTTATAAGACCCGAAGAAGACAAAAAAATCCTATTACATTGTTAATGCTATTTGTAAAATAACAAATATATGAAGATATATATAGAAATATGAATTCCATAACGTTTTATTTATTGCTTGAAAAAGAATCATTGAAACATGTTATGAATAGAATACTGAAATAAACATGAAATTGTTTCGCGGTATTTTTTTTTACATAGCATTTTGATTCATTTCCTTTGACAACTTCGACATTCAACTAAAAATAATTTTACATTGTTCTAAGATTTTAACTGCCTCGTATTTTAACTATACAGTTTTTGATGTGGGAAATGTATTTTATTTTATGCAAATCTTTAGTTGTTTATATTTTATATGTCAAGTCACATTGTGCTGAAAATACACACGCGTATATCAATATTTGTGAAGATTTCTCATTGGGGACTTGACAGTTCCTTTTATAATTTTTTCCGTTTGTAATTTCATATCATCGCTTGAGCTGATACAGAAGTTATTTTGGGAGAAACAACTGAACATATATTTGAAGATGACTCACAGCAAGCCATAATGAATAAATGCTGACAGCCTGTCAAATGAGAAACAATTTTTGAACAACACCTTTTATTTTTTACAAAAATCTATCCTTTATCCATATAAAACAAGCCAGGAGAKATTTCCAAGCCTTTTCAATCGCCATAGATTAGTATTTTTTAATAAGACCAGGTTAATAAAATTCAACCGTGCATAGAAACATACCTAGTATGATATTGCTATATAGCGTCTGTTGGTTGCTGTGTGGCTAATAAACCACAGGAAGCCCAAATTACATTATATAGATTGTAGTTTATTTCGAGCAACATGCACAAGTAAATAACTCTGATAAAAGATCAACGTCCAAAACGTTACTGCCGCCACTAAATTTCGGTCCCGAGTGTATCCACAATAGCGAGAGTTGACTGTAAATCTCATAAAATTGCTGTCTAAATTGAATATGTTAAATGCTAAACATATCACCAAAAGAAACAAGAGTTTTCCTTTCAMATATAAAGGCATTTMARMTGGAAAGCATAAAATTTGGTCTAAAATTTTGTTACAAAAATTTGAACCAAAACCTATCAGCAAGACCAAAATACCTATAAGCAATAATGATATGAAAAGTAAGGTT